TCGCAGGTATGCCGCTACCATCTAGTCGCCTTCTGCCCGAACGATCTCTTTCCCAACACGCGCTCCGACCTGGGCCCGTGCCCGCGCGTGCACGACGACGCGCTGCGGGAGGAGTTTCTGGCGTCCACTAAGGTCGCGCAGTTCGAGGCGGAGCTGTTAGCTTACCTGGAGCGGCTTATAGCGGATCTCGAACGGTGAGCGGGTTAGTTGCGTGCACGAACACGAACAAGCACGCGAGCGAGCTTGCAAGCGAGCACGGTTTTTGGGCACGCGTGCATGAATGCTCAAGCTCCCTCACTCCCACTATCTTTGCCTTACTTTTCCCCTCCTCCCCCCTCCCTCCCCCTGCCCTCTCACTCCTCCACCCCCTTCTCCCTTCTCACACCCTTCACCTCCCCTCAATCCCCCCACTCTCCACCGACCCTCCTCCCCACCCCCTACCCGCCCCTCCCGCCCTTTTCCCCCGCGTGCGCTCTGCGCGGCAGCAAGATCAAGCGGTGCCACGAGCGCCTGGACAAGGAGCTGCCGGCGGGGCAGGGCGCGGCGGTGCACGCGGAGCGCATCAGCGCCATCGGCGCGCAGGTGCAGGCGCTGCTGCGCCAGGCGGAGCTGGAGGGCGAGCAGGGGCTCGTGGACCGCGCACAGGCCACCATGGGGAAGGTGCGCGGAGGAAAGAAGGGTGGGGAGGGGACGAATGGAGGAGGGGCGGGGGAGAAACGGGGTGCTGAATTGACTGAAACAAAGCTGGAGGGCGAGCAGGGACTCGTGGACCGCGCCCAGGCCACCATGGGGAAGGTGCGGGGGCGAGGCGGGCGGAGGATAGGGGGGCGGGCGGGGAGGGAGGGAGAGGGGACGGTTGGGTTGACTGGGAAAGGGATGGAGGGCGAGCAGGGACTCGTGGACTGGGCGCAGGCCACCATGGGGAAGATGCGGAGGGGGGGCAGGGGGGGGGGGCGGGGGGGATGGGAAGACAGACAAGGGACGGATAGAATTGACTGTGAAAAAGCTGGAGGGCGAGCGTGGGCTTGTGGACCGCGCCCAGGCCACCATGGGGAAGATGCGGAGGGTTGGGGAGGTGGTGAGGGCAGGGGGGGCCGAGGGAGGGAAAGGTTGCCGAGTCGACGGTAGAAAAGCTTGAGGTCACGCAGGACGACTTGTGGACAGGGCGCAGACCACCATTGGGGGAGGGGGGGGAGGTTAGGGGGGTGGAGGAGGGGGAGAGAGAGGGGGAGAGGGGGAGGGTGGAGAGCGGTGGCGAAGCTTTGGTTTGGTTTGATTGCCCTGCAGGCGAGGAAGCTTCAGAGGAGGAAACAGGTTACTGCAGAGGTTGCCGCATGACTTTGTGATGTGTAGGTTACTGCAGTTCGGCTGTGAGTAACAAGGGCCGTAGGAATCATATAGAGCACCTTGCTATCAGCAGGCCCGGTCTTATAAGCCGTTTCCCTGCGCCTGCACCTCCCTGCCACCTCCCTAAACTCTCTTTCAGCTCCCTTCAACCCTTTTCAACCGTCTTCAACCCCAATCACCTCACGCCCATACCTTCCTTCAACGATTGTGTAGGTGGATGCACTGAACCGAGAGAAGGAGGCTCTCCTGCGCTCGCCAGTGGCAGACCCAATCGCTTCCTCCGTCATTCAAAAGGAGAAGCGCCTGCAGGTACCGTTGCTTCTGCTGCTCCCGTTGCTTGCCGCTGTGCCGCTGTGCTGCTGCTGCTGCTACGCACTGCCTGCTGTTCCCTGGGGTGGGGGATACTCCAGTCTTTGCTGGGGGATACTCCAGGGTGGGGTCACTTATTCAGGACGAGAACCGTCTGGAGTAGCTTCTCTCGTCTTTGCTCTTCACAACAACGCTCACTGGTTTCTACTGCGCCAGAATTCTCAAAAACCAGCTCGCTCACTGGTTTCTAGTGCGCCACTGACTATGGGCGTGTGTGCGGTGCCATGCCGTGCTATGGCCAGAGACACTCATTCTTGGATTCAAACAGTTGCAATGTTTACCTGTTGCGTGCTGGTTGGATTTTGCGGTTGGTGGTGTTGGTGGGTGGGTGGGTGCATGCGTGCCTGGGTGCGTGCATTTTGTTATTGTGCGCGCGCGTGGGTGCACGGGTGTGTGCGTGTGTTGGCATGTGTGCATGTTTGCATGCGTGTGTGCATGGGAGCAGGTGTGTGAGGTGTGTGGAGCCATGCAAGCCAACACAGACACGGAGAAGCGACTGGCCTCACACCTCGACGGCAAGCAACACCTTGTACGTGCTGCTGCTGCTGCTGCTGCTGCTGCTACATGACGAGGATATAGCAGGGCTATGAGTCACTTTTATTCTCAAAGGCATGGCTATTACCAGTTGGGTTGGAGGTTAAAGACTTCCTTGTAATCCACGTCCCCTCTCCTCTCCTCTCCTTGCCTTTCTGCCCTCTTTTCTCCTCACCCCTCTTCTCATCACTTCTCTTCCCGTCTCCTCTCCTCTCCTCTCCTCGCATGTGTCCATGTTTCTTTTTCCCTCTCCCTTGTATCCACTGGCAGGGCTACGCTAGGATCCGCGAGACAGCAGAGATGCTGAGGAAGAAGAGGGAGGAGGAGAGGGAGAAGAGGCGGACGCAGATGGGGTTGAATGATGCAGTCGAGGGTAGGGGGGAGCGGCAGGAGGAGGGCAAGGAGGGCAAGGAAGGCAGCCAAGGGCGACCCGAGGTATGGCAATGTGACTGGCAATCGAGGTTCAGCTTTGGAGTCTGGCGTTTGCTCTGCTCCCCTCCCTCTTTCCCTACCTCCCTCCCCTCCTTCCTTCGCCATCCCCCCTCCCTTTTACCCCAAGCACCGTCTCTGTCCCCTTCACCACATTCATTGCAGTTTTCAGGGCAGCAGGCTTTGACCTTCAATATCATGCGTTGCCCTGTGCTGCCCTGTGCTGCGATTCCCTCCAGGTGAACGGGGAGCAAGTCGCAAGGGGCAAGGGTCGTGACGATCGGAGAAGGTAAGCTTCTCTCTCCTTGTGTCCGTGTCTCTCTGTCTGTCCGTGCCTTTCCCTCATAAGAGAAGGTGACTTTTTTTCTCCTTGTGCCCATGTCTGTCTGTCTGTCTGTGCCTTTACCTTGTCCCTTCCCGCTGTGGCCATCCCATGTGCATAAGACACACCTCTCTAGCATTCTCACTCACATGCTGACTCACGTCGCTGCTCACACAGATGCTCTCATGCCGGTTCATACTCCTGCCTGTACACTATACATAGTTCCGCTCATCTGCATGGCCTCTCTATCCTGCTTCTCTGACCTCTTCACCTTGCCTCATCTGCTGTTGCCTCGTGGTGCTGCTATTGCTGCTGCCGGCGCCGCTGCCGCTGCCGCTGCCGATACGTGCAGTGGAAGCAGGGAGACAAGTGCTGAACGTGAGCGGAAACGACCCAGGGACGAAAAGGCTGGAGGTCGGTATTCGGAGAGAGACAGGGATAGGGAGAGGGAAAGGGAGAGAGACAGGGAGAGGGAGAGGGAAAGGGAGCGAGACAGGGAGAGGGACCGTGACATTGATCGGAATAGAGATCGGGAAAGGGACAGAGAAGTTCGGGAGAGGGATAGGGACAGGGAACGGGATAGGGACAGGGATAGGGACAGGGACAGGGACAGAGATAGGGACAGGGAGAGGGAGAGGGAGAGGGACAGAGATAGGGATTGGGGCAGGGATAGGGATCTGGACAGGAACAGGGAGCCGGGCAGACAGAGAGAGAGGGGGAGGGAGAGAGAGAGGGACAGGGACATTAGAGAGAGAGAAAGAGATCGGGACAGAGACAGATAGTGAAACTGGTAATGGGGACAGCATTGATTGGTTTTTGCAGAAATCGTGAAGTGGAAGGGAAGGGACTCAGTATTGAGTCGAATGCTTGGAGATCATAGATGTGGATTGATAATAACTGTACATTTAACAGTCTTCTCAAACACCACACCAACTTATTCGTCGGCCCAAATCCATTGTGACAGATGCCCTCGTGCCAAGGGTTTTTATCACACAACTCTTAGCAAGGAATATTCTATGTGGCAGGAAATTTTATGTACGGCTTCGCGTACAACCCAAACTCTTGGAAGTTTCTATCGAAAACAAAAACGGTTCCTTTTGGCGAAAAAGAAACCGTCAAAACGCTTACGCGCTCTAACGTACATCTGGTCCTCTCCGTCAAACCCCCACTCAGTAAAACCAACCAAGCCTACACCAACATTTGGTCAACGGGGTCAAACGCGAATGGTGGTTCGGGGTACTAAGAAATCAATGCCGTGCCGTGGCTCCTGCTTTGCCAGAACCTACTTCCTTCGCGCCTCCAGGTGCTTGTAGTAGGATCGCCAGGGCTGGTACAAATCCCCATGCTCGGCCTTGCATTCTCCAAAAAAAATAAGGGTTCTAATCTCTCCGTTTCTGTATAGTAGGCAACGCCCAGGGACCACCAGACACCTCCCTTTCCTCGTTCTGGTGCGTTGCAAGTCAGGCGTAGATAGATACGCACTCCCTTGCGTATCCGTCCACCGATCCTTCCAGCCTCAGCCTTTGGCCATTCCTCGCTTCATCCACTTCATCCGATGAAGTCCATGGACGAATCGCGCAGCCGCTGCATAATGATAACACCACAGCCGGCGCCTCGCGTCACAATCCGTTGCAATCCGTCGGATCGTACGCGGCCTGCCACTGCGTCGAATCGTACGGCTGGCGCTGCTTGCATCGCGTGTTCGCCGTGCGACATTGATCGGCTGCCAGATGCCGTCTTGCTGAATATCATCCACCACGTCATCACCAGCAGTAGCGGCAGCAGCAGCAGCAGCGGCAGCGGCAGCTGCGGCAACAGCAGCGGCAGCTCCCGTTCTTCGACCACCACCACCAGCAGCAGCAGCAGCAGCAGCAGCAACTGCGAAGCCGTAGATGGAGCGACGACGACCGCAATCGATGCAAGCACTGCTTGTAGCTCAGATGCAAGTGATCATAGCAGCACCGCCGGTCCATGTTCAACAGCGTCATGCCCTAACGCCATGACCATCACCACCCGCGATCGGTGGGGAAATAAGCAACAGCAGCTGCTGCCATGCAAGGACCCTACATGCTCCTGCGGCAAGGCAAAGAGCTCCGCCGTCGCCCCCACCCCCCCGCTGCTCACCTGCGCACTCGTCTCCCGCCGCTGGCTGCGCCTCTCCGCGCTTCTCCCCCGCGCCATCACTGTCCCCCCCGGCCTCCTCTTATGCCCCCGCGCGCTCCTGCGCACACTCTCCGCGTTCCCCCACCTGCGTGCCCTCACGCTACACGGGGACTGCTGCGGTCGCAGCAGCAGCCGCTACAGCAGCAGAAACACCAGCAGCAGCACCGGCATCAGCAGCAGGGGGACCATTAGTGATTGGCTGATCGCTCGCCTGGCAACGCTGCTGCCGCAGCTGACGTCACTGTCGCTCGTTGGCGTTGCGGCGATCCCAAGGCTCTCCCCATTGGCGCCCTCCCTGCTGTGCTTAGAGGTCCGCGGCGCAGGGGAAGGGGTAACGCATCTCCCCGGAAAATACCTAGGGCAGCTGACGTGTCTGCAGGAGCTGATTTTGAGGGATTGCTTGGCGCTGCGGCAGCTTCCTGCGTCGCTAGCGCTGTTGCCGTCGCTGCAGCGGATTCGCGTGGAGGGATGCTATTCCGTGATGCTTGATGCTTGGACAGTCAAACCCAGGGATGAATCGGCAGCTGTGCCTTCCAAGAGAGAGGGTGGGAAGAAGAGAGAGGAGGGGGGAGGGCGACGGGATGACATGGAACGTGAGCATGGTGGGGACGTGGTTGATGTGGTGGGGTCGGGGGGTGCACGTGATGGGGAGGATGTGGAGGCGAGCTACGATGGGCAGCAGCAACTGCCTCTGCCGCCTCAGTGGCGAAGGCGACAGCGGCGGCAACGGAAGAAGCTCCACCACAGCCAAGAGAAGGCTCGGCAGCAGCAGCAGCAGCAGCAGCAGGCGTCACAGGTTGTTCGTCAGAGTAATCTTCAGAGTAATCAGGGTGGTGTCGCCGCTCTCACTGCAGCAGCACAGCCACGCCAGCCCCTCTTCTTTTCCAAGCTGCAACATCTCGAGCTTGCTGACGTGTCAGCACTGCATCACCTGCCACGTGGCATTCTCCAGCACCACTCGCTCAAGCACCTCGTGCTGGACGGCTACTCAGGCGCCTCCCTTTCTGCTGCTTGCAGCATAAACTCGAAGTCAACCGAGTCAACCAAGTCAATGCTTGAATCCCCCATCCACATGCCCAGCCTGCGTCATCTGGAACTTCGCAACCTTCCAAAACTTTCTCAGCTGCCCGAATGCCTTTCGCTGTCCGCCGCCTGCCCGTCCCTCACCATCCTCTCCATCCAGGGCTGCCCACGCTTCTCTTCACTCCCCACTCCTCCTCCCAGCCTGCACACCTTAAAGCTCTGCAATCTTCCCAACCTGACATCCATCTGCCATCCACTGCACACCCACTGCCCATTGCTCTCTGTACTCGTTATAGACCAATGCGCCAGCCTCCATACTGTGCCGTGCTTCCCTTCGCGTAGCTTGTCCCACCTGGAGATTCGCAACCTCCCAAATCTCACAGCACTCACAACCCCTTCCTCGCTCCTCAACCCCTCCTCCTCCTCCCCCTCCTCTCGCCTCTCCATCCTTTCGATCCAGAGCTGTCCTCTCCTTGCTATAAACGCCTCTACACGCACCCCCTTGGTCTTCAACTTTCCAAGCCTGAGGGAGTTATGGTTACAGGACCTTCCTTCGCTGCACGAGCTACCGCCCTCCTTCTCCTGCCTCTCCTCCCTGCACCGTTTGGTCATCGCCCGCTGCCATGGGCTCAACTCACTCCCTGATTGCCTGCCAGAGCCCCCTTGCTGCGCGATCTTGCCCTCGTGATGAACCGCAACCTCATCGTCCCGAAAGGTTTCCTGTCGCAGCTGCACTAGGTGCGTTGACTGGTGGTGCATCGGGGGTGGGAGAATAAGACCTTGATCGTGCATCTCGGGCAGGTGAGGTCAAGTTTTGGGCTGCCCCCACGGGTGAAAGAGCTTCACACAGATGACTTTGGCAGCGACGTGTTTCGGCTGCATGAGCTGGAGAGACTAGAGGTGAGTGCGGGGAACCTCGCAAAATTCAGTATCCGCGAGATTAGGGTTTTGGAGGAGCTGGTGAAGGGTAGCGGGGAAGGTGGGAGAAGGGATGCAGAGGAAGGGGAGGGGAGTGACGGTTCTGATGTGAAGTGTTGCGAGGGTGGGAGACGCATGGCAGCAAGCGAGAAGCATGGCAGCAAACATTTCCTGCCCTGCTTGCAACGGCTGTCCCTTGCTAACTGCGAGGTTGGCCCTCGCTTCCCTCCCTGGGTGCGCCACCTCACGTCCTTGCAGCACCTCTCGCTCACCCACATCCACCGACATAGACTGTTTTGCTGCGCGTCAGAGCAAGCCAAAGAGCCTCGCCAATTGCAGCGCCTGCTCAAAGCTTATGTGCAGGAGGAGGAGCATTGGGAGAATCTCGCGTCGCTGCAACGGGTTGACAGATGTGCGTGCTGCCCATTGGTTGTACCTTCGGAATGGCAGCCTCTTGTGCGTGTGGTTAATGCAGCAACAGCAGAGGCAGAGGCGTGTGGAGGTGATGTGATTCGACGAGCAGGATTTGTGCTTGGAGACTTGGGAGGTCCCAATGGGCCATGATACCATAATATGACCAGCGGAGGGAATACCGCATCAGGCCTCTCTTCAATACGACTTGCAGAGTTGCACCATCTACTTAACATATTTTGACTTCATGCTTGCACATAAGCTCATTCACAAGCTAGGATGAATTCATATAGAATGTACTGCCTTTTCAAACCAGTAACCGAACTGTACCGTAAGGTAAGTCTTACGTGGGCTGTTTTGAAGCTCCGGAGTTCGAACGAACCATGACCACACATCCCACCGAGAATCTGACACCACCTGCCATGCTCGCGACTGCGCTGCTCTCTACTCGCATCGCATTGTCCAAGAGGTGACTCGTCTCGCTCTGTGAGTCGCAGACGCATGTACAGCGCATTTATGTGCATGTCGATACATACAGTATCATATTCTTCAGTGTTAGTTTCCAGCTGCAGCATCAGCGGGTGGGTATAGTGTGCTCCAGCCGTCAACGGGTGTTCGAGCGAGGTGCTTGCAGTGGTGATCTTCGTGCTTCGAAGCAATATAGAATCTAGGTCGCCGTTGCGATCTCGCTGCGTGTCGCTGAGCCTTACGAACGACGGTCAAGCGGTAGGTCGCGTGCAACCGCTGCAGCAGCTGCAACAACAGCAGCAGCAGTAGCAGCAGCCGTATTGATTTAGACGTGTCCGCTTCGGCCTTCTCGGCGCCGTTGCCGCACGCTCTCCACGCGTTCGCTCCTCCTACACCGCTGCACTGCTGAAAGCACTGAATCCACACTGCTGAAAAGCTTAACGCAGCGGCTCAACTGCATCAAACTTCACCAGTGTGCATCAAGCCTTACTGAGATCGCGGATGATCGCGGGATGATCGCGGGATGATCGCGGGATGATCGCGGGTTGCTCGCTGTCTGGAAGGCTTTACCGAATTCGCTGTGTAGTAGTCGAGTGGTGCGAGCTCGTTCGCTCCCGGCGGGGACTATTGAACCGAACCCACAGCTGAATTCAGTGACCGTCGAATTCAGCCATTCCTTCGGTCCTCTCGCGTCCTGACTTTTTGTGACTCCCGACTGGGAAGTCACTCTGTCGGATCCAGTTGCTTCTTGAGTGCTCACTCCTCTCGCACATCCTGCCTGTTGCGACACCGCATCCTGTGTAGCGGTGAAGCGTCGTCGCATCAAATCGCACCCCGTGAAGCCTCTGGACGTTGAGCCCACAGAAGCGTCGTTTATTGTGACGGTCGGCTTAGTAGGACTTCCGGGGAATCGTTCCGTTGGATCCACGTGAGCGGCCAGGTCATCCCGTTTTAGAGGATCTCACCTTGAACCGCTTACGTGGGATTCAGATTCATCTCAGCTGGGATTCGTCTCATTGGGACTCACCTTAGAAGGGCCCATCCCGAGAGGACGGGTAACAGAAGGACCCTGTTCTATCTAACGGCGTGCTCTGTGCGTACCAGCCATTCAAGGCAGATGAGCCTTCTCACCGCCACACCCGGACCTCAGGCCCACACTGCACCCCTCCTCCAGTTATCCCGTCCGCTTGCCCTCCTGATATCGTGAGCTGACTCTCTAAGGCAGTCCAGGGAACGGTGTGCAGCGGTGCAGAGCGGTGGAGTTGATGAGCCAGTGGCAAGATGGCGGTCAGATGGGGGCGGCGGGGGGAGGCTGGGCGGGCAGAGGGGCGGGCGGGGGCGGAGGAGGGGGAGGGGGAGTGGGAGGAGGTGGGAGTGTGCCAGCAGGACAAGTTCGTGTGATGGTGGTTGGGGACTCAGGTACGTGTGGAGTGGAATGGAGGGGAGAAGAGAGGGGTGTGGAATGGGGCTTCAGATGACACAGGTAATGCAAAATGTGCATTTATTGCAGATAGATACAAAAGTTGCAGTTATATAAAAGCCATGCGGCCACTCATTTACACGTGCATTCAAAGCACATCCTCTCTCCCAGTCCCTCTCCCTCTCTCATTTGCTCGCCCTCCTCTTGTCCTCCCAACCCCACTCGCTCCCCTCCTCCCCCCCTCTCAAACTCCCTCTCTTCTCTCCTGCTTCTTCATGCCACCGGTGCCGCCTCACCCATTGTGTGGCACAGGGGTGGGCAAGACGTCCTTGGTGCATCTCTTTCTCAACGGCCACCCTACAGCACAGCCTCCACGTACAGTCGGCTGCACTGTGGGCGTCAAGGTGAGACGGCTAGCAGTGAAGGGCGTGAAGGTGAGACGGTGGAGAGTGAAGGGCGTATAGGTGAGGCGGCTTGCAGTGAAGGGCGTCAAGATGACACTGCTAGAAGTGGGGCGAATATGAAGGGCGTCACAGTGGGATGAGTGACTAGCTATATCCATCGCAACCTGTCATGCTTGAAGCTTTTTGAGTTGGCTGAAAAAGCATGGAGTATCGGTCGCGTTTGGAGCTGGCATGAGTATTTCTTTTCCCCTCAGATGCTCAGGTCGCGTTACTCTCGCGTTATTGTCGTTATCTGCATGCCTCCAATGCGCTCTATGCTGAATATCCCTCTTGTGCGGCGCATGTGTCTGTGGGACGTGGCATGGCTTGTTATGGCATGGCATCATGAATGATGGCATGGCATGGTGACATGGTATCATGACATGGTATGGCATCATGGCATGGCATGGCATGGCATGCACAGTACATGGAGTACAGCCCCCAGGCAGAGCCAGTGCCAGGGGACTCCACATCCCACCTGCGCACAGACCCAAGCAGCAGCAGCGTCAGCAGTGGGGTGGCAGCGGTGGGCAGTGGTGGTGGTGGTGGAGGCGAGGAGGGGCGGCGGGGGTTCTTTGTGGAGGTGTGGGACGTGTCAGGCAGCGAGCAGTACAAGTCGTCTCGCTCGCTCTTCTACGACCAGATAAATGGTACGTGTGGATGGGTCTACTATTTGGTCCATTCGCCACAAGGATTACTGGCATTCGCCACAAGGACACCCCGTGCTGCAGGGCCGGGTCAAGCTGCTGCGCACTGCCAGGAGCAGCAGAACACCGCGTATACTCCGTGCTCATGCCCCACCGTCTGCCCCTCTCACCACCCTCCTTCCTTCCCTCTCCCCCCTCCACTGCCGCCCCCTTCTCTCTCCTCCTCCCCCCCCCCCAGGTGTCATCTTTGCGCATGATCTCTCGCGCAAGAAGTCGAGAGTCGCAGCGTTGCAGTGATGGACGAGCTGGTCCGCAGCGGCACCTTCTCCGCGCCCTCCCACGGGCACCGCGAGGGGCAGCTCCCCGTCCCCCTCCTCGTGATTGGCAACAAGGACGACCTCCGAGACAAGGACCCCGTGCTGCAACTACAGGGCCGGGTCAAGCTGCTGCGCGCTGCTACTGTGCTCCTCATGCCCCACCCTCTGCCCCTCCCATCCCCCTCCTTCCTCCCCTCTCCCCCCCCTCCACTGCCTCCCCTTCCCCCCCGCCCTCCACCCCCTCGCAGGCGTCATATTCGTGCATGACCTATCCCGCAAGAAGTCGAGAGTCGCAGCGTTGCAGTGGATGGACGAGCTGGTCCGCAGCGGCACCTTCTCCGCGCCCTCCCACGGGCACCGCGAGGGCCAACTGCCAGTCCCCCTCCTCGTGATTGGCAACAAGGACGACCTCCGAGACAAGGACCCCGTGCTGCAGGGGAGGGTGAAGCTGCTGCGCGCTGCTAGGAGCAGCCGGACGTTGGAGTATGCGATGAAGCATGCCAAGACCGTTGTGGAGCGGTACGGGCTGAGGTCGTTTGGAAGGCGGAAGCGGGGCGAGCTGCCCGAGTATATCCGGAATCCCAGAGGCGCCGGGCTGATTGCGGTGAGTGGGGTGGGGTGGGGGTGGGTGGGACGATTTTTTAGTTTTGACTGGTAGGAGAGGAGGTTTGGGGTGGACACAAAGTTGGGAGGGAGGAAGATGATGGAGCTGGGCTCGTTGCGGTGACGGTGAGTGAGTGAGTGAGGTTTTGAGTCAGCTGGGCAGAAGAGGCCAGGAAGGAGCAGCAGGACGTTGGAGTATGCTATGAAGCATGCCAAGACCGTTGTGGAGCGGTACGGGCTGAGATCGTTTGGAAGGCGGAAGCGGGGCGAGCTGCCGGAGTATATCCGGAATCCAAGAGGCGCCGGGCTCATTGCGGTGAGTGGGGTGGGGGGTTGAGGCGACTGGGAAGGTGTTTGAGTCGAGTCACGAATAGGAGGAAGTGAGGGGGGAGTTGGCAGAGTACATTCGAAGTCCCAGGGGCGCGGGGCTCATTGCGGTGAAGTGAGTGAGTGGGAAGATCGAGTCTTAAGTGGGAAGATTTTCGAGTCTTGGAAAAAACAAGGGCAAAACATGCAGGGGGAGGTGCCAGAGTATGTTTGGAATCCCAGGGACGCCGGGGTCATTCTGGTGAGTGGGGGTGAGTGGAGGTGAGTGGAGTGGAGGGGGGTTGAGGCGCCACTGTTGTTGCTGCTGCTGCTCCTGTGTGGTCGAAAGGAAGGGCGAGGGACAGAAGCAATGGCACGAAAGCAGGGGTGGATGGAACAGGGCGCTGTCGCTGATTATGCTTGCCGACCCTGGTCCCAGGTGCGTCGCTGCTGCCACTGCAAGCCTCATTTATTCTGCCACTCATGCTTTCCTCTCCCTCGCTCTGTCCTCCCCCTCCTCCGCCCGTGTGTGCTGGCCCACAACACAGTGTGCGAAGCAGGGCCGCCTGGACCTGGCAGCAGTGGACGCCTTCTTCCTGCAGGTGAGCCAGCGAGTCCCTCCAATACGGAGCAGCTGCACCAGGTGCATGAATGAACAGCGGGTGAGACAACAGCAGGTGTGGCAGCAAAAGGTGCGAAGCAGGGCCGCTTGGACCTGGCAGCAGTGGATGCCTTCTTCCTGCAGGTGAGCCTGGTAACAGCGAGTCGCTGTCTTGCCGCAGGCCAGGCCACCACCTGTCGGGCTGTGGCTGCCCCGCTTGCTTGCTTACTTGCTCACGAGCATTCTTGAGTCGACTCAAAAGGTGACTTCTGAGTCGACTCAAATGTCACCACCTGTGGCGCTGTGGCTGCCCTGCTTGCTTGCTTTCTTGCTTGCTTGCTCACGAGCGTTCTCATCATGCTGATCACCACCCTGTGGCTGCCCTGCGCAGCGAGGTTGTTTTTGAGACGTCTCAAAAACTTGCTCACGAGCATTCTCATCAGGCTGATCACCACCCTGTGGGTGCCCTGCCCTGCTTGCTTATGAGATCTCTCAACACACAGACCAGCAGTCGTGACTCGTGAGCATTCCCAAAGCCCCTTGGATTGTCCTCGCTTCCATGTCTTTCCCTTACCCTGCAGCACGTTGCCACCTCACTCCCTCCTCCTGCCCTCACGTCACCCTAAAGCCCATCTCCTCCAATTCGTCCCCCCCTTCCCCTCCTCCTCCAGCTCATCAAGCGGCGCTATTTCACAGAGCAGCTCACAGCACTACCCTCGCCTTCCCGCTCCTGGAGCCAACCATTCCTCTATGTAGAGGGCATGGAGGGTATGGAGGGAGAGTTGAACGCGGATGCGCTGCTGCTGCCCTCCTCGTCTGCCCGCACTGGCGGGGAGCAGCAGGGGTCGCGTGGGAGAGGAGAAGGGGCTGTGGCGGGGCTGTATTGCTTCAACAGCCTGCGAGGCTATAATACCAGGTGGGTAGGGCTCTTGAGGTGCTGAGTTTGGGGGTTGTATTGGGAGGGAATGGAGGGAATGGGGGGAATGGGGGGCATGGAGGGGGAGTTGAACGCGGATGCGCTGCTGCTGAGGCGTCCTCGTCTGCCCGCACTGGCGGGGAGCAGCAGGGGCCGCGTGGGGGAGCAAGGGCTGTTGCAGGGCTCTATCGCTTCAACAGCCTGCGAGGCTCTGATACCAGGTGGGGCTCTCGAGGGGTATTTTTTTAGGCATCTTACTTTGGCCGCCTTCTTTTTGAAAAGAGAGGCCTTTTGCGAGGCGTCTCACAAAGTAGGCCTCTCTGCATGTGCATGTGTATGTGTATGTGCATGTGCATGTGCATGTGCATGTGCACGTGAGGAACGTGGATTTCTTTAGTCTGCACATGCGTGTGCCTGTGGCATGCATGCACGTGTGCCGTGCACGGGCATGTGTGGGTGCACTTGGGCCGAATCGAAAGTCGTGTGTGCTTGTGTGAATCAACATTTGGGCATGTGGCGAATCAACATTTGGGCATGTGGCGAATCAACATTTGGGCATGTGGCGAATCAACATTTGGGCATGTGGCGAATCAACATTTGGGCATGTGGCGAATCAACATTTCTCTCTCACTCACCTTTCTCACTCCCAGCATTCCCCTACCCCTACTCCTCACCACTTCTTCTCCCCCTCGCCCCCCTCCCACCCGTCTTCCCCCTCTCCACCTCTCAGCATTGAAATCGAGTCATTTGGCTCGCTAGACCAAGAATCAACCAACAGTCACAGCAGCACGCTCGCGCTTTGAGTCGACTCAAAGCCTCCTCGCCTCTCTCCCTCCCACCCTCCCCACCTCTCAGCATTGACATCGAGTCTTAGGCACACCCGACCATAGAATCAACCACCAGTCGAGTTTTGAGATGTCTCAAAACTTCTCCCTTCTCTTTTCCCCCTCGCCTCCCTCCCGCCCCCTTTCGCCCTCCCCTCCTCTCAGCATTGACATCGAGTCATTCGGTTCCCCAGAAGACTGAAATAACCACCAGTCGCAGCAGCACGCTTGCGTTTTGAGTTGAATCAACCCCTCCTCGCCTCCCTCCCTCCCGCCCCCTTTCACCCTCCCCTCCTCTCAGCATTGACATCGAGTCATTCCACATCCGACTATCGAATCAACCACCAGGCGCAGCAGCACGCTCGCGTTTTGAGTTGACTCAAAGCCTCCTCGCCTCCCTCCCTTCCGCCCCTCTTCCCCTGCCCCACCTTTCAGCATTGACATCGAGTCATTTGGCACACCCGACTACCGAATCAACCACCAGGCGCAGCAGCACGCAGGCAAATACCCCTTCGAAGATGATGAGGAGGACGAGGAAGGGAGGGGAGAGGGGGAGGGGGAGGAGGAGGAGGAGGAGGAAGAGGAGCAAGGGCATGATTGGCGGGAGCAGTGGCAGCAGCAGTGGCAGCAGTGGCAGCAAGAGTGGGTGAATCAGTCTTCCTCTCCTCCCCCTGCTGCCTCCTCCTCTGCAGCTGAATCTTATCTCCTTTCTGCGTTGTCTGCTTATCCAACCACAACCACCACCGCCGCCACCACCACTACCACCAATCTCGCCTCTTCAATTGCACCCTCAAAAGGTAATCATGGTTCCTTCTATGGGCAGCAGCAGCAGCAGAATAACCTCAGTAACCATTTTTTCACATCTGCCTCATCCTCTGCTGCTGCTGCAGCAGCTGCTGGTACTGGTGATAGTGGTGATGGTAGCGCCTGTGGAAAAGACAGCTTTAGTATCAATATCAGCGGCAGCGACCGAGAGGATTGGTCTGTCCTCCTGCAGTCCTCTGCAGTTGATGTGGCAGCAGCACCAGCATCAGCAGCAGCAGCAGCACCCGCAGCAGCAGCACCACCACCACCAGCAGCACCACCAGCAGCAGCAGCAGCACCACCACCACCACCAGCACCAGCACCAGCACCAGCAGCAGCACTAGTACCAGCACCGCCAGCAACAGCAATGGCAAGACTGGTTAGAGGCGCACCCCCTGGTGTGCTTTCATCGGCTGAGGCTGCAGGGCTAGGCTCAGCAACACAATCGGGTGTTTCTGCACAAGCAACTGACGTGGCTCCAGGACAAGCAGCAGTAGCAGCAGCAGTACCACCAACACAAGCAACAGCAGCACCAGCACAAGCAGCAGCAGCAGCAGAAGTAGCAGCAGCATCAACAGGACCGCTAACAGTCTTAAAACCATCATTGAGGCAACCAGGGGTAGCACAATCATCATCTGCTGCTGGGCCTGATGAGACATTGTCAATGGCCGCAGCATCTGCAGCAGCAGAGGCGAGAGACAATTTAGCTGTACCAGCAGACCCTGAACGAGCAGGAGCAATTGCAGTAGCAGCAGCAGCGCAAAGAAGGGAAGATGCAGCAGGTGCAGTAGCAGGGGGAGCGGCGCCTATTCCTAGTGTGAGAGAAGCAATGGTGGGTGAATACGATACACATGAATTAAGCCACGCAGCAGAGCATGACTTAGGGTATTCAAGCCCACAGTTCATGCCAACAGCAACAGCAACAGCAACAACAACAGCAACACCAGGGGCAACAGCACCATTAACACCAGCGGCAACACCAGCAGCGCCGTCACCTGCCACCCTGTCTGCTCTTGAGAGTTCTTACAGTCACATGCCTGCAGCCTTATGTGCCACAGCCACTCCCGATGCTGCACGAATGGGAGCAGCAGATGGGACCCTTGGAACCACAAGCGCAAGAGGGGATGAGGAGGATATGATAGGTGCTGCTGCCGCGCCTGCTGAGTCTGTTGCTGCAAGTATGGGAGCAGCGGACGGGACTAATGGCACCACAGGCACAAGAGGAGATGAGGAGGAGACGACAGGTGCTGCTGCCGCCACCGCTGCTGCTACTGCTACTGCTACTGCTGTTTCTGCTGCTACCGCTGCTGTGTCTAGTACTGCACAGCCACCATGTCAGAAAGGGAACAATTGTTCAGCACAACCACCTTTACAATCACCTCAGTCTCAGCCTCCGTCCCATGTGGGAATGACTCAACCTGTACCTGATCCTGGCACTTCCATTTCTATGCATCAACCCTCTGCTATCCCTGACCCTACTGGGCCTCTTGAGACGCCACGCCAGCGGATTCCTGCTGGTTTGTCGGCTTTTCCTGGTCCTACTGGAGCTTTTAGATCAGTGGAAATGCAGGCACAGCAGCCCTTGCTAGCAGCAGAGTCAAGACTGGTTGGTGGTGGTGTGGCAACCAGTGGGATACCTGCAAGTGTCCACGGACCGTCAACTGATGCTCAGGCTTGGATGCATGGTGGGGGCTTTACCCAATCCGGGGGGTTTGTCGTCGCTGATTCGCATTTGCCACCGCACACTGCTATTGGGCACTTGGCTTGTGCGTTTGAGTATCTGTCTATGGTGGAAGTGGGTGATAAGAGGGATGTGGGGCTGGAAGAAGCAGCGGCTGGAGGGGGAGGAGGAGGAGGAGGAGGAGGAGGAGGAGGAGGAGGAGGAGGAGGAGGAGGAGGAGGAGGAGGAGGAGGAGGAGGAGGAGGAGGAGGAGGAGGAGGAGGAGGAGGAGGAGGAGGAGGAGGAGGAGGAGGGGGAGGAACAGCAGGAGGAGCTACATTAGGAACAGCAGAATCAACGGTTCCAGCAGCAACAGCGCCAGCAGCAGCAGCACCAGCAGGAGCAGCGCCAGCAGGAGCAGTAGGAGGGCAGTCTAGAGTAAGTCATGGTACATCACATGGCTTGCATGCGGTTATTTCTGGTGATAACTTGCTGCAGCAGCACGCACAGCAGCACACACAGCAGCACACAGAGCAGCACACAGAGCAGCACGCACAGCAGCACGCACAGCAGCACGCACAGCAGCACGCACAGCAGCAGCAGGAGCTGGAGAAACGTGGCGGTGACAGTGGCGTGGGAGAGAGGGCAGCAGCAGCAGCAGCAGTGGGGGCAGCCACAGCAGCGGCAGTGCAGTCACGAGCGGGAGGAGACGCATGGGCGTTCTTTTCAGGGAGGAGAGAAAGCTCTGCTGTGGCTGCGGAACCCACAGGCAGGATAGGTGCTCACTTTGAGGAGCGAGGCAGAGAAGGAGCAGGGGAAAGAGAGGGAGTAGGGAGAGCTGGAGGAGCAGAAGAAACAAGGGGAGCAGAGGCAGCAGGGGGAGCAGTGGTGGGAGGGGAAGCAGGGGGAATAGTGATGGGAGGGGAAGCAGAGGGATCAAGGGGAGGAGAAGTAGGAGGAGCGGCAGATGGAGCGGTTGCAATTCGGGCACCAACACCATCAGCAGCGGCAGGCAATCACTCAGCAGCAGCCTGCCCACCAGGTGCAGCATCACCAGGTGCAGCACCACCAGTGGCAGCACCAGCGGCAACCGGCATAGGAACAGCACGAGCTGAAGCATCAGAGCCAGCACAAGCAGCACAAGCAATAGAAGCAATACAAACAAGCGTTTTTCCAGGGTTCTTTGGCGGGGTCAACCCCATGGCTGCAGCAGCAGCGGCGGTTGATGCTGCTCTGGCAGCCGCTGCTCGCGGGGCAGGGGCTCGGGTTGCTGTTACCAGATCACACAGTAAAGAGGATGAATCGAGAGATGGATAGGTGGATATGGAATACTAGGTTTTTTTATGTGTACTATTTCCACCACTATTTCAAATTCATTTCGGCCGGCCTTGTCTGCTGACGATACAAGAAGTACGGTATTGTGCAGAGAAAGTTATTTGTATTGTGTTGTGTGTCCGTTGCGTTCCAGTGCAACTGGCACCAGCACATTGTGTTTCCATTTACGGTACCAGTACTGTATTTCCCTTTTCATAAGGAAGGGGAGGGGAGGCAATAGCTGTGGTGTATATTGGCTTGGCGCAAATTGCAGTTGGAGTAAAAACACCTGGAGATATACACCCGTCCTCTTGCCTACGGCAATCTCTTGTACACGTTATGACAATCTTTTTACGAAATAGACTCATTGATACCTACCGGTATTTTCTATGCGCCTCAAGAATGGGCATGCGCATGTATGGACTGTGTCAGAATGCCTGCCCATGAAACGACTCATTCATACGCATGCCAGTAGCTCACATCAAACGTCACACTTCGTGTGCTCTTAATTCCTGGTCCTGTGTATGGGTACTACTACTGCCCCATGTGACGCCCTCTGAAGCAACCCAATCCCCTACAGCTAGCCCATCCAATCTTATCCCATTCCCCCCAAATTCTACTTCCCCCTTAGAAACAGCTATCCCTGGGCTCCTACGAGCAGCAGCAGCAGCAGCAGCAGCAGCAGCAGAGGGAGGGGCAGCAGGGGCGTTAGGTAGTTGCTACGAGTAGCTCCAGCTTAGCTTTATGTGAATGCGAGGAGATCGAGTAGGGCTGTTAAGAAGCGCATCTGAGCGTCCATCGCAATGGTGTCAAACGTGGGCACGTGCACAGACACGCTCTGCACCCGCGGCACTTGTGGCACTTGCAGTGGCGCTAAGCTGAAGCGGAAGCAAGGAGCTCCAGGAGGGCGGCTACGAAGCGGAGCTGGGCGTCCATTGCAATGGTGTCAAACGTGGGCACGTGCACAAACACGCTCTGCACCCGCGGCACCCACGACTCTTGCGGCACTTGCAGTGGCACGACGCTCAAGCGGATGCGAGGAGCTCCAGGAGGGCGGCTACGAAGCGGAGCTGGGCGTCCATTGCAATGGTGTCAAACGTGGGCACATGCACAAACACACTCTGCACCCGCGGCGGCACTTGCGGGGGCTCTTGTGGTGACACGTGTGGCATGCGTGGAGCGAGCTGTGGGTGTTGTTGCAGGGCCTGCAGTGAAGGGTTGGAGTTGGCGTGTGGATGGTGCTTCGTGTCTGATGCTGCCGGCGCTGCTGCTGCTGCTGCTGCTGCTGCTGCTGCTGGCGCTGGCGCTGCTGCTGTTGGTGTAACTTCCGTTCCTGCTTCGCTAGAGACACTGGTAGCACTAGTACTGGTAGGTGGGGTGGTGGCAGTAACAGCATGTGGCAGGGACTCAGAGGAGGAAGCGGAGGAAGGGGCGGGGGAGGAGGAGGAAGGGGAGGAGGAGGAGGAGAGGAGGGCGGCACGGCGCAGTGACTGGTAGTATACGTAGTTGCAGACAAAGCGCCCAGCGTCTCGGGAAGAAAGCACAGAGAAACCACGCTGCTGGAGTGTGTTCACTAGGCTCAGGACAGGTAGGGTTGACTGCAAGAAGGGGCAGGGGCAGGGGCAGGGCAAGAGAAAGGGCAGGGCAGGGGGAAAGGCACAGGGTGGAGAATGATGGGAAGGGAGACAAGAAAGGGAATGGACAGCAAGCTGCCACATAACACAGCATGACTTTGCATCGCGTGACATGGCTTCGCACCACACCGCATTGCATTGCATCACATCCCTTGCCACCTCATCGCACCTGTCTGATGACTGTGATTGGCCCATCTTCTGGTGCTATTGCCTCCTTCTGTACAAATGACAAGGGACAGAGGCAAGAAACCATCAACGCAAACCAAACTCCACAAACAGCAATGCAAAAACCAACTAACAGTCAACCCAAAAGTAAAGAATCAACTCAGAAAAAAAGCGCCAGCTACCAGATTACCACCCATCCCTCTGCTCAGGGCTGAGGGAAACAAGACAAGGGCCCACCTGAGGCTGCCAGACTATCTTACTGGGGAAGCAAGTTTGTTTGGAGACGCCGGAAAAAAAAAAGCCTTCCTTAAGGCACACGTGTGATTGCCAGCCCATCTTATCTGGGAAGTAGGTTGTTTCAAGACGTCTCACTCGACACGAGCTTCCTTTCACGTGCCCTGCCCACCTGAGGCAAACAAACCCACCTGAGGCTGCCAGCCCATCTCATCGGGACATCTGAAGGTTGCCTCGTTGGCTGCCTGGCGCTCCACTGCTATGAGTGATGCCCCGCTGTTCACCCCCAGATGCACCTGCTCGCAGGTATGCACACACAGAGCGCGCACAGAGCACACACAGACAAGCAGACACAGCGCACACATCAATAGCACGCATTGCCGAATCATCGCTGTACCCCCACTGAACCACCGCTGAAACACCGCCGAACAAATCGACCACTGAACCACCACCGAGCCACTGCCGAACCACTGCCGAACCATAATCTCATCACCGCAGCAACGGCAACGCACTAACCTGATCCCCCAGGTGATCGTTTCCCCACTCTCACCCCCACCCCACTCACCCAGACCCCACTCACCCATATCACTCGTCTCCCGCCATTCACGTCCGCTGTTCCGCCCATGGCTCCTCCCCCACACGGTCTCGACTCTCTCCCCCCCGCGCCCGTCCCCTCCGCCACTCCCGCTGGATGCGCGGATCCAACAGCGCCCTCTGCGCTCTTCGTTGCCCCCCTCTCCCCTGCCCTTCCCGCGCCTTTTCCCCCTTCCGCGCACGCGCCCACTCCCCCCTCTGCGCTCACCGTCTGCGCCGATTCTCCCAACGCCATCCTCCTTCCGCCTTTCCCCACAAATCTCCCCCATATTCCTCCCCCTTCCACCCCCCGTCCGCCTGCCTCCTCCGCACCTTCCCCCTCGGGCGCGGGGGACAAAAGCGGCGGAAGCGGCGGAAGCCCCTCGGGGTTGTCGAGGATGCGCAGCAGCTGCGGAAGGTACCCCTTCCCCGCGGTCTCCAGAACGCAGCAGCACCCCAGCGCCCACCCCTCCGGAAGTGCTTTCCGCTCCGCCAGATACGCGGGCAGCGCGCGCACGATTGCTTCTGTGGGGTTATGCGCCACCCCCATGAACGGTTTAAAGCCCGTGACAGCGAATAGGTTCGGTGGAGGTGCGACGGGCGGCGCGGGACGAGAGGCGGTCGCGATCGCCGCGACTGACGGAAGCTCGAGAGCCATGGATTTGGATTTGATTAAAGCAGGGCGCTTGGATGTCAACCAGGATCAAACTGAAAGGATTAGCGCTTAAAAAAACGAGAAAGTGGGGGGAGAAAACGAACGAAAGCGTGAGAATCGCTGCCAATTTATGAAGATTGAGCAAGGAGTGGTGGTCGCCGAGTCCTCCTCGAATCACGCGAATCTGCGTGGCTCGCGAGAGGTGGTGACGGCGCAGGCAGCCGAGGGCGCACAGGTGGCAGCAGTAGCGTGATTGGCGTCTGAGGGAATGCTAGGCGGAAATATTTGGAGGAAGCGAGGTGTGGCGCATGGGTGGTGTTTCTCACGCTTTGCGTGTTGGACGGGTGAGTCCCTTGCTGGGCGCGTCACTCCCCGCAAGTTCGCTTCCTGGTCCGCTCCAGAGAACTTTCTGTGGTGCGACCGCCAGTCGAGAGTGAATGAATCGGTGAAGCGGAGTTCTACATTTTCGGACGGTTGTTTCAAATGTTTTCAGTATGAACGATGGTTACCCCACTTGCATCCGTCCTAATCGAACCACAAATCCGACGGCCTGTGAGACACGGGCTGTTCCTGGAAGTCCTGTTCGCCAGTATCGTGAACCCATGTTGCGATTTCCGACTTCCCATCCCAACCCTGGCCTCAAACTCAAGTGTGCGCTCTGTAGCTTGCATATATGTATTCATTCACAAAATCGCTAGAGGCAATTCCTATCATGGTCGCCTGCTGTCCTAAGGAAGAATCACATCACATCACCTAAACCAAGATACCCTTTCCATGTAAAGTGGTTTATCAAAACGGTATGGCTCTATTAACATTCGGGTACACAGACATCACTGGCTGCCCCATGATTTTTCGTCCTGTCTTGCGATTGCACACCCAAACAACAGCGCCCACAGGCCACTCAACCACGGCTGCAGCTACCATGAATACGAAAGCTAGCGTGGGTCCGACGATCTGTCACAGGCACACGGAGGGAGAAGGCAAAGAACGGAGTTCACTGCAATGCAACACACCAATCGATACCTGATTCCGTGCAACTTGGGGCTATCTAAACTGGCAGCACAAGGACACCAAACAGCACATGGAACGGCGAGAATAAGGCGGCAGAAACCGTACCTTGCACCGGCAAGGATTATCTGTAGTACCACACTCGATGCAGACAGGGAGGATGAAGCCGTCAAAGCACATGATGGCTCACCACGTTTAAAGTTGCTAATCACCACGGACAAGCTACAAGAGAATCGAGGCTCTAGGAAAGCGTGGAGATAGCAGGCGAGGAATGCGAATAGAAGTAAGAAACGAGACGTGTCCTTCGCGTCTGCTTGTATACCGACAGCACGCAAGACCGAAGTGGCTCAGACTCGTGTCATGACACGCAACCACGAAAGTGATCGTGCAAATTAAAATTTGGTAAGTGAGCCCAAGCCATACCAGCGAAACGTGTGAATTGAAGCAAATCGAGCATTCGGAGCGCGTTAGAAGGAGACTGACGTTCCTAGAAGATGAGGCTGCAGTCGAAGACGGTCAGCACGACACATGCACAAGCGCTGCGGTGCCTCGCATTGTGAATGCCGAGGTATGGCAGCTGGACTCCAAAAATTGCTGATCAAAATCAGGTATTCGTTAGAGGCTGTTGCATTTGATAGACTGTCAACACATGCTTTATAGTTTTTCATGACATTGGCATTCATGTGTGAGTGACAACCTACCCAGTATCATACACCCTGTTATGCACTCGAAAAATTATTAAATAACTTATTGTTGTTACGAATTGTAATGTCTGAACATTACTGTGCACTCCTCACCGCAGCTAAGGAAGCACACAGTATCAAGAACGAATGCGAAGAGTCAGAGTTGACTCGAAGCGTCAGACGGTTGGGGTGCATCTGGACCGTCTGAGCAGACGGCATCGGGCAGCTGCAGGCACAAGGATTCTGGCGGGAACAGTTTCGTAACTGTACGCGCCGCACGGTTGGGAATGAATCCGAATAAGGGAATGTACCCCTTAGAGTACATGGCTAGCTAGGTCGATTCGTATTCCCCTGTACTCTTATTTATATCGTTGTATTTGCATGTTATTATCTCAACCATTTTACATTCACTCAGCTATTGAGGTCAAGGGCCCACCACCACTAGACTAGAAGTGTGCGAACCTTCCTGAGGTGATCCTGGTTACGATCAACTTCTGATCGTAACAATTGTACTTTAATAGTTGAGGATTTCTTCCAAATCGCTTGGAATGTATATATGTATCGCTACGTTAATTATGCTGCTTTTTATCATACAGAAATCCAAGTTAAAAATTATGTTTGTGTTTATAGGTGGTGTCCAGTCTTAAGATAGGCTAGGAGACAAGTGTCGAGAGTGATGTTTGAGTAAGGAGAGACAAGGAGATACAAATGTCGACCTAAAGTGTTGTACCCTTTAGAGGGCAACTCACTGTAGCCTATCTAACAATATATAGAATATATAAACATTTGATATCCAGCAGGGCCAGAAATTGGTTTCGGGGCACCCTGCCATATCAGGGTCCCCCTGGCCCCTTTGCCTGACAGTCAGGGTGAAAAAAAATTTGCCCAGTGCTAATCAGTGTGTTTTGGCCAGTATTCTGTCTTTGTAAGGGTATTTATGGAACCACCCTGAATGCAAGAGCAAAATCCAAATGCCACTACCTCATACTTGTGGTGTGGTGTGTTTTGTAGAGCTGACAGTGCGAAAGTGACTGCTGGGGCCAGTTTTGTAACCAATCTCGGTCGAGTGGCCACACGGGCCCTGTTGCACAGAAACGACACGAAGGAAGTCTGTTTCAGTGCATTTCAAAAAGTACCCTGACTCGTCAGGGGAAAACTCGGGGAGGCCTGATTTTGAAAGTGTGTTTCAAAAACTACATTTTTACAGTCAGGGTCGTTTGGCAAATACACGTACTAAATCAGGGAAATCCTGGAAAAGCGGCCCATAGCAAGGGTAGAAAGGGTAAAAACCCTTGAATTTTGGGCCCTGGTGTCCAGGTGCATATGCCCAAATGCAACCTCTGGTTGGCAAATGCAAAACTCTGGTTGGCAGAGTACCACCTGATTATCTCTCATAGTTCGGAATATGAACACAAAGACGGACCTGCTCGGGGTTGCCCACATGATTGAGACGATGATTTAGGGGGTGTCCAGCTCGTACATTTACTGTTCGTAAGCCCGATCAGTTACCACATTTTTTGTTGTAACACTGTATTGAACGTGTCCTGCGGACACAATCAGCTTTCGTTCACAAAACGGCACGCCCCCTGCACGTACCTCATGTCGTCTGACTCACGTTACTGGAATCAGCGGGGACACGAACAAGGGTACAGCACCGCGTCCTGGCCACTACAGTAGCGCCCCCTGTATCGCTTGCACAATTTCGCCAGTAGCTCGCTACACTCGTCAACACACCCCCCGCCTGCCCAAAAATTCGTTAGCTATGATTGACGACGGAAACAGTTACCTCGTTTTGAACGCGATCAGAGCACTGTTGATTCGTGTGGCGGAGAACGTGTCCGCGCTCCTGAAATTACAGGTAGGTGGGACAACTCACAATGCATTCGTTTTTAGGTACAGTGAATATTTTTGAACCTCGAGACGTGTGTTGGCACTAAAAACCCCGAAATGAACGAACTGGACACCCCCTTATCCGAAGACACGCTATAGCGGCTACTTTTTGCACAGTGGACCCTGACCACAAGCACACAGACCAGCTTTGAGCCAAACCCTAGGCACAAACTGTCCATACCAAAGACAAGACAGCCGAGCCAACCCAACAAACGAGCCAACTGTGCTGCATGCCCACGTCTTCCGCCAATAACGCTCTCCCTTCGCTATTATCACGAACCTGCGAGGCTGCAGTCCCCTTTCGTTCTCCCCTCCAGATTCTCTTCCTTTGCTATCATCCATTTGTCAACGCACCATAGCAAACCACATCGAGACAAAAACAAACCGAGCCACATCTCACAAAACAGCAGCATTTCCATCTCTGACCCTTGTCTTGCACAAGCGGATTTCTCAACTCAACCCTAGCCATCATCGCACGGGGGATCTCAGTGTGGTGTGAAGTGGTGTTCCTCAAATCCATGGCTGCCTGATCAAGTCTTCTTCAGGGCGACGTGCTATTTCCGTGCGCTTAGGTCAGTTCTCTGCTGTGCTTGTAGACCTTCTGAGCCTCTGTCACGCGGATTCAGCGTTTTGTTATTGTGTGACACTACAGCACCTACTTATTGACGAGATGCGTGATTCACCTACTTATTGACGAGATTCACACTTACTGTTTGGCTAAAGTAGTGTGGTGGTCCCTTTCTATCACTTTAAGGTGAATTTGTAGGTATTCATTATTACCTTGCGCAACGAGCCCGTTTAGCATGATGGCGTATATCTCTCACTTATCTCCCTCATAATTCCTTCTCGTCTTTCGTGTCATCTTCCGCTTCTTCAGTTTCACCCGAATATTTTCTCTGTTTTTTCTCATTTCCTCCTTATTTGGAATACCTTCATTTTATTGCTCTAAACACGCAGTCGTTCAATCGGCGTTCCTTAACTCACCTCCTCATCGCGATTCTCGTCCCTCCCTTGTTCTGTCCACGTTCTCGTTGTTTCTTCCCCAGGTTCCGCTTCTAGTCTATTTGCGTTTGCCCCTGCCCGCCGTACCCGTCGCCGTACCCGTCGCCGTGCTCGTCGCCGTCATCGCACACATCCCGTCTGCGAGTCCGCCATGGACGAATTCATGGAGTCGGTCGAGTCGTCCCTCCTCGCTCAGGGAAGGCCCACCACCCCCATCCTTACCTCCATGCCTTCTCACTCGCCGCCGCCATCCGACGTTCCGGCGTTCCCGCCAAACCCTTTTTCCGACTCGCGCGCCCGACGCGGCGACTCCATCGGCTTCGGCGGCAGCTCCTTTCACGAGTCGCCCAGTCGAGCCGAGTCCCCGTCTCCGTCCCCATCCTTACCTCCTATCACCACCTCTACCACCACCACCTCCTCCTCCGCGTCGTCCTCGTCATCCGCGGACGCGGAATGTCAGGAGGCGCCGGCGTGTGCGATATGCCTGCAGGTGCTGGGGACTAAGGGCGGCCCGTCGTCCCTGCCGTGCGGCCACAACGGCTGCCTCGACTGCCTCCTGCAGGTCACACCCACTCCTCACTATCCTGCCATGACCTGTTCTTTTTTTTTTCTGTGGTTGTTTTGTTTTGTTTTCTGGCGCGGCACTGATTTGGTGCTTAGAACCCCTCTGTTAAGCCTTTTATTTCTCTCGCCCCCGCGTTGCACGGAGCGAGCGATGTGAACGGGTCACAACCCAACAACAACGGGACCTGATGCGACCGTGTGCTTTGCTTGCGTGCGTGCGTGCGTGTGAGCGTGCGAGCAGGTGCAGCAGTCGCAGGTGTCGCCGCACTGCCCCATCTGTCGCGCGTCGTTTCGCAAGACGATGGTCATCAAGCTCAACTGCGACCTGCGCGACGCGCTGGCGAACATTCAGCGGTCGCAGGACGAGGCTCGGCGCGCAGCGAAGGAACTGGAGAAGGAGAAGGAGCGCACGGAGGTCGCGGAGCGAGCGGCGGAAGAGGCGAGTGCGGCAGCGGCCGCTGCTATGGTGCGTGTCCTGCCATGGCCCACGGCACATGTGCTCCAGACACATCGGTTGTTGATATCGTGCTTTTCCTCTTGCGTGATCCCGTCCCTCTACCCTCTCACTCCCTTCCTCCCCCATCTCCATCCCCGTCGCTCCCTACCTCCCCCCTCTGCATCGCACTCTCGCTCTCTCTCCTCTATGTTCGTTCGTTCACTTTCTCTTTCACTCTTTTTCACTCTCGCCCTCTCTCACGCACACAGAACGCAGCACATTCACGTGCAGCATCTGCACATCCCTATATTCTCTTCACCTTCCCCTCGTGTTTCCCCAACCACCTGCCCCCCCCCTACCCGTCGCAGCGCGGGAGAGCCATGCGAGTCCCGTGCAACACACCGCTCTATCCGACTGGCGCCCAGCCTCCCTCCGCGCCCCTTCGCTCCGCCACCGGTCCCTCTCCCGGCGGGCCCAACTCCTTCCCCCCTTCCGCCGCCTACGGCGGCTTTCCCAGCCCCCACAACGGCTTTCCCGGCCCGCAAGTCGGCGGCGCCATCGGCGGTGCGATTGGCGGCGCGATCGGCGGCGGGAGTAACATCGCCTCCAGCATCGGCAGCAGCGGCGCGCGCGCGATGCGCGGGGTGTTTAGCAGCATGGTGGATCGTGTTAAAAGCCGCGCGCGCGAGCGCGAACAGTTCTTCTACGCCCCGCACCCCTCCGCGGCTTCCCCTTCTCCCGCCGGCGGCGGAATCGGCGGAAGCGGCGGGGATGAGGGGGACGATGGGAGTCCGCCTATTGAAGGCGCATGGCTCCGCGGAAAAAACGGAAGGGGGGGAAGATCAGATGCAGCAGCGATTCAGGCGCATCCTCACTACCAAGGATTCGTTAATGGTAAAGCGCCTCCGCCAGGTTACGTGCAGGATTACCATCTACAGCAGCAGGGGCAGGGGGAGCAGGGCGGGCAGGGGGGACAATGGGCGCCGCTGCATGCGCCCAGCGCGCCCGCGCACATGGACGGCGCGGGGTGGGGGGACGATGCGGGGGAGGACGATGGGGGAAACGGTGCTGGGCTATGGGGACGGGATGGAGAGGTTGAGCCCTGGGAAGGGGGGATGGGGAGAGGGATGGGCGGAGTGGTGGGCGGCGGAGTGGGCGGGCCGATAGGGGGAAGGACGTTTGATGAGCTGTGGGCGGCACTGCCGCCCGAGTGGGTGCCGGACAGTGGGTCCACGAGGTGCATGGTGTGTGAGGAAGCGTTTCGGCCTCTCGTGCGCACCAGACACCACTGCAGGTCCGTTTTTGCTGCTGCTGCTACTGCTCCTGCCGCGGCTACCTTCTGTCGCTCCTCTTTCCCAGCTTGCGGGTCGTGTAAGGCACTGCTGCGTACCCATGTTGCTGCCCTTGATGTCCCCTCGCTCGCCTTCAACCTCACGCTCCCTGCCCTGAATTTCCACCCCTCCCCTTTCCCGGACTCCCTACCCTCTCCCTTTACGTCATTCTTGTCGCCCCGTTTCTCGACTGTCCTGCTTCCCCCTCCCGTTTCTCCTGCGCCCTCTCGCCCGTTTCCTGTTCCCTCTCCCCTTCTGCCCTTCCTCACTTCCCTCTTCCCCCTCTCTCCTCCTCTCTCCTTCCCCTCCTGCCACTCCCCCCTCCTTCCCCGCCCCTCTTCCGCGTCCACAACCCACAGGTTCTGCGGGTTGCTGCTCTGTCACAGCTGCAGCGCGCGCACGTGCCTGCTGCCCCCTCTCTTCCGCGAGTCCGAACCCCAGCGCGTGTGCGACCGCTGCTACGACCAACTGGAGCCGCTGCAGCCACAGCTCGTGGTCACAGTGGCAGGCGCAGCGCAGCGCGCGCTGCACGATGTGACGGACGCCACGAGCGTGCGCGCGTGGGTGAACAACCCCCTTGCTTGGAGCCTCCAGGAGGAGATTTTCAAGGCCACCAACACGCTCCGCGGGTATTCTCAGGTGCGCAGGGGAGAGAGGGCGTGGGGGGGGGGGGGGGGTGAGTCAGCTCAAGAGTCACCTAATAACCCCCTCGCGTGGAGCCTCCAGGAGGAGATTTTCAAGGCCACCAACACGCTCCGCGGGTACTCTGAGGTGCGAGAGAGAGAGGTTTCATGTGCCAGATTTTGAGGTGTCTCAAAGTCTTATGCCACGGGCGTGCGCGCGTGGGTGAATAACCCCCTCGCGTGGAGCCTTCAGGAGGAGATCTTCAAGGCCACGAACACGCTCCGGGGGTACTCGCAGGTGCGTTCGTGCACGGAATCGTACGAGCCACTAGCTGCTGCGTGCTTGGCTGCTGGCTGCTGTGTTTTCGGGGGCGAGCAGGGTGGTGTCGTTTGGTGTTTTCACCGTGTTTAGGCGAGCAAGGGGGGGCAACTCTCGGTCCTTCCCCTCCCCTTTTCCCGTATTCATCCCTTGCGTTCCACCCTCCAGGTGGGAAGGCTGAACCCAGAGCGCTCATTCCCAGCAGCCGTGTTGGGGTGCGGTGGGGCCGGCGATTCTGGCGGTGCCGTTGAGAACTGTCAAGAACACCCTCTTCTTACGCCTCCCCTCCCCTTCCTTCCGCCAGGTGGGGAGGCTGAACCCAGAGCGGTCAATCCCAGCAGCCGTGCTGGGAGGCGCAGTGGGGCTGGCGATTCTGACGGTTGCCAAGGCGGGTGTGGGGGTGACGTACCGGGTGGGAACGGGGCTCGTGGTGTGCCTCAAACCCGACCGCCAGTGGAGCGCGCCCTCTGCTATTGCTACTGCTGGCATGGGATGGGGCGCGCAGGTGCGGGGGACAGTGGGGGGGGAGGACTGCGGTTGGAAGGAGTGGGGAAGGGGAGGGGAGGTTTGGGGCGTGTTGTTGGGGCGGTGGCTGGGGCAATGGTTTTCAGGGTTCCGTGGGGGTTGGCGCTGAAGGGGAATGGGTTTGGGGCGTGAGGGGGGGAAGACGGGGCGTGGGGTTGTCGACGTACCTCGCGGGCATGGCCTCATGGTTTGTTGTACTGCGTGGAGGCCATGAAGGCCGTTTGCAGCTGCGCCAGTTTTCTATCCCCCTTGACGAACCCTTCCCCGCTCTCCCCTCCCGTGACCCCCAACTCCATCCCTCCCCTCTCGGTCCCTTGCTTCCTCAGATGGGTGGCGAGATAGCGGATCTGATAGTGGTGATCCGCAGCCTCGAGGCCATGAATGTCTTTCGCAACCGCGCCATTTTCTCTCCCCATTGACAAATCCTCCTCCGCCCTCCCCTCCCTTGACCCCAACCCCATCCCTCCCCTCCCAATTCCTCAGATGGGTGGAGAGATCGCGGATCTGATAGTGGTGATCCGCAGCCTCGAGGCCATGAATGTCTTTCGCAACCGCGCCATTTTCTCTCCCCATTGACAAATCCTCCTCCGCCCTCCCCTCCCTTGACCCCAACCCCATCCCTCCCCTCCCAATTCCTCAGATGGGTGGAGAGATCGCGGATCTGATAGTGGTGATCCGCAGCCTCGAGGCCATGAAGGCCTTCTGCAGCCGCTACCACGTGGCGGTGGGCGCCTCTGCCAGCGCTGCTGCCGGGCCCGTGGGGCGCGCTGTGGAGGCGGACGTGCGCGCGGGTGGTACGGGCTTCTCTACGTGCTACACGTACAGCTGCAGCAAGGGTGAGTGTGGGTGTGCGTTGCTGCTGCTGCTGCTGCTGCTGCTGCTGCTGCTGCTGCTGCTGCTGCTGCTGCTGCTGCTGCTGCTGCTGCATGCATGTAGTGTTATCATTTGGGCGCCCCAAAAAAGGCCAGCAGCACGGGCTTATCCACGTGCGACACGTACAGCTGCAGCAAGGGTACATGGGTTGGGTGCTGCTGCTGCTGCTGCTGCATTGAGTTTTGAGACGTCTCAAAACTCGACGTGCAGGCGGGCGGCACGGGCTTCTCTACGTGCTACACGTACAGCTGCAGCAAGGGTGGGTGTGTGCTGCTGCCACCCTTCATCCCATATCCATCCCCATCCCGATCCCCCTCCCCGTCCCCGTCCCCATCCCCATCCCCATCCCCATCCCTCTCCCCATCCCTCTCGTTATCCCATACACATACCCCTCCGCCTCCCCCTCCCCATCCCCCTTCTGCTCCCTGTCGCCCGCCCGCCCCCGCTCTCGCTCGCCACCCTCCCATTCCCCAGGAGCATTCGTGGGCATGTCATGGGAGTCAAGCGTGGTGGCGTCATGCTCATCGGTGAACCGGCGCTTCTACGGCATGCCAGTCTCCACCACCGACATCCTCTTTGGCCGCATTGCGCAGCCCACCGCTGCCCGCCCGCTCTACGACGCCCTCCTTGACCTCATCCCTGTCCCCATCTCCATCCCCTTCCCCCCACCCCCTCCTCCCCCCCCCTCTTTTTCCCCACTCCCCACCTTCGTCCCCCTTCCCCCCCTCCCCCCCTCCGCCTCTCCCCCTCCGCCTCCCCCTCCGCCACCCCCCAGGAGCATTCGTGGGCATGTCATGGGAGTCCAGCGTGGTGGCGTCATGCTCATCGGTGAACCGGCGCTTCTACGGCATGCCAGTCTCCACCACCGACATCCTCTTTGGCCGCATCGCGCAGCCCACCGCTGCCCGCCCGCTCTACGACGCCCTCCGGGACCTCATCCCTGTCCCCATCTCCATCCCCTTCCCCCCACCCCCTCCTCCCCCCCCCTCTTTTTCCCCACTCCCCACCCTCGTCCCCCTTCCCCCCCTCCCCCCCTCCGCCTCTCCCCCTCCGCCTCCCCCTCCGCCACCCCCCAGGAGCATTCGTGGGCATGTCATGGGAGTCCAGCGTGGTGGCGTCATGCTCATCGGTGAACCGGCGCTTCTACGGCATGCCAGTCTCCACCACCGACATCCTCTTTGGCCGCATCGCGCAGCCCACCGCTGCGCGCCCGCTCTACGACGCCCTCCGGGACCTCTACGACTCGCTTGCTGCCCCGCCCCCGCCGTATGAGCACTGCTGCGCTGGCCCACCGGCTGAGGCTGTTGCTGCTTCCCGGGGCTGATGGGGAGGAGGGGAGGGGCGATGAACGGAAGGTGCGTTTTGGGGGCCGGGGTGTCGGGGGAGGTAGAGGGGTGGTTGGATGGGGGACTTGAGGGGCTGCTTGCTGTGCGTATGATCACTGCCGCTGCCGTACGAACACTGCTGCGCTGGCCCACCTGCTGATGCTGCTGCCGTTTCCCGGGGCTGATGGGGAGGAGGTGGTTGGGGAGGAGGCGTGACGGGAGGTGCGTTGAGGGGAGGGGAAGGAGATTGGGGGAAGGCTGGGTGGGTGAGGGACCTGGGTGGGGGTCAAAAGGGTTTGCTGGGGTAGGCATGATATTAGAGAGTCTGATATATGAGGTGCAGCATGGGGGAATAGTGGAGGGGGGGGGATGGGTGCGTGGGAGCGAGTGTGGGTGTGATTTGCGTGCGATTGAGTGCATGTGGGGGAAAGGGGGACAAGCTGGTAGTTGTTGGTGGTATCATGCTGTGCTCGGCCTGGTCCTCCTGCTCCTACCAATGCCATGGTATGGTGTGTCGTTGGCGGTCAAAGGCTGGTAGTGGTACCTACCACCATGAATTCAACCATTTATTATATTTCCTCTTTGAACCCCCGTCTTTCTAAACCCCCTATGCAGAATCGTGGAGATGTTCATGTAGAAACGGACCCCCGCTTCTTGTACATATCCAGTGGAGGCTCGAAGGTAATTCCCTTCATTTTCCTGTAGGTTACACGCGCTGCTGTACAGGTAGAACACGTGGAGCGCCATTTTGGTGGTAAGAGCTGGTGCTGTACAGATTTATGTTGTAGATAAGGTAGTCTGATCTTCTCTGTGGATGCTAGCGTTTTACCTACTACCGTAGTATCTCGGTGACAAACGTATACTTCTATGTAGGGCTACTTGTTAAACTTCTATGGATGTCAATAGTTTCTTGTGGTGGTAGTGGATGTGAACTGACGGGGTACATCTTGTTACTGGTTTATAAGCACGACATAATCAATGTGGTAATGAGCGTGTACAAGAAAAGGCAGCAAAAGAGCTGCTTCGTTACAATTGGACGTACCTCAGATACAATGTGGAGCTCGATCTGACATCGCCTTCCACGATTCAATCCCAGCCGTCAAATCCATCTCCCTTGAAATCTACCAACCTGCATGTCTCAAGTTTAGGGATTTATGGTCTCGGCTGGCCCTGCCCGGCCATTCCACCCAGCGTCACATGGCTTTCCCTGCGGGATCACCACGTCAATTAGAAAGCATTATCCAATCCGCTGTCCCCAATTCTCATTTTCCTATTCTCTCCCTCAATCTGCACCGTCCATTTTACGATCTGACAATCACATCCCACCAGCTCCCACTTCTCCGGCTCCGTCACGGCGCGCGACATTCCCGATAGTGAGGATTCTCCGCCTGAATTTGCAGCCCAAATCCTAAATCCTGGGAGTGGAAGTGGTTGGGGGAGCAGGAGCAGAAGCGCATCTGCTTTCTCTCTCTACTTGTTCCCGTTGTGTATGTCCGTCCACCCCAAATTCTGGTACACCCGCAGCAGATGTACGTGGAATGGTCAGCTTGCCTCCATCCCTACAGATCGTGTTTTGGCTGTATTTGGTGGTGTAGATTCCTTTTTCCCGACGTGCCTGGGTTGACGAGCTGAATTTATACTAATCCGTTTTTCCTAGTTAATCCAGCAATCATGAGGCAGCGCTTTATTCCAATGGCTAGATGGGCTTCCCTTGTGATCTGCTCGTGGCTCATCGTCTCCGCGATCTGCCTCATCGATCCGGTTGCTGCCGACGAGGACGCGTGCGTCGCGGAGCGCGAAGGCAAGGCGCGATGCGAGGATCTCGTGACCAAGGTCAAGGCGGAGCTTGCGGGGGCGAAGGAGCGTGCGGACTCTGCGGAATTGACGGTGGCGGGTGTACGCGCGGAGGCGAAGGCCGCGGGGGAGAAGACGCGCGCGTGCGAGGCGGAGGCGGGGAAGCTGCGCGCGGACGTGGCGGAGCTGACGAGCAAGGCGCAAGCCGCGGAGAAGAAGGCGGGTGATCATGGTGAGTCATCAACTCAGTTTTCACCAGGTTTAGGTGAAACTGATCGATTTTTCAACACGCTTATACGTATGTTTGTGAGTCGACGATTAAGAGGGTCCGAGATTTAACACTTGCATCGCCGGATTCGGTGGCATTCAGTGAGCGAGGAGTCAATCGGATTTAACTGTTCCATCAGCTTGGAATTCTAGCTGGATTGAATCAGTTTTTTCGAGCAGAATTCACTTGCATTGCACTTCGAGTTCCATAGTTTTGAGCCGTCCGATCGGATCCAACGAGATACTGTTGGATCTGATCCGATGTGGGTAAGATATTGGTTTCCCTGTGAGTGTTCTTAACAAACCGATCCGACGATCTGCGTTTCGACGATCTGCGACGGCCATTCGCTGTCCTCGCAAGTCCACGCCTTGATCTCCATTCACAGAAAGAGGGTGAGTAGAGGGTAGGCGGAGAGAGACAGATTCTAATGCGCGTCTCTTGCCATGCCGAGTCATGTAGGAGAGGAGATTCGACTCTATTTTGTGTACGTCCACCGAGAGCACAACTGAATAATCGAAGGAGTTCGGAGCAGCAGTGATCTCACCTGGCAGATTCCACCTGGCATGATCCCACCTGGTAGATCTGGTCGAATTTCTCTTATCATCGTCGTTTGTCTCCTCCTCGTCGGTAGTAGCTCGGATCGAACCACAGAGCACGATGCCGGCGATGCCTAAGAAGGCCAACGGCACTTTCTCGTGCGATCACCATGATCAGACGTGTTTTGAGGCTCAGATTAGACCAGTGCTTCGCCGCTCACGTGCTGCCTCCTTTCTCTCTTATCATCCTTCAACTGCTTCCCCTGCTCCGTGGCCCGTGTCGCTCCCCCTGTCCGCGCGCGCGCGGGCGACCTGCGGACGATTGGAAAAGCGGTATGCGGACTTCGCCGTCTGATCTCTCAGCCGCCATGCCACTCACTGCACACCCTCTCTCTCCCTGACTCTGTGTCTGTCCATGTGCGTGTGCGCGCGCGTGTGTGCGATGCACGTGTGTGAGTGCAGGCGGCGAGGTGCGCGCGTTGAAGGAGAAAGTGAAGGCGCTGGAGGCGCAAGTGGCGGACAGCAAGGCGCAGCAGCAGGCTCTGCAGAAACAGATCTCGTCCAAAGGTGATTCCCCCCTCTCCCTGTTCCCCTCCTCGATCTCCTTTTTCCTCTTCACCTCCTTCGTTTCCCTCTTATCCTCCTCGCCCAAAACTCGTCCCATTCCTCTCTCTCTCGTCGCAACTCTGCCTTCCTCCTCCTGTCCCCGCTCCCCCCTCCCCCCCCTTCCCCCTCCCCCGTCCCGGAGCAGAGGCGCAGGCGAAGCAGGCGGAGCAGCAGGCGGCGACTCTCAAGAGCGAGTTGGAGGCAGCTAAGGGCGAGGTGAAGGCGAGCAAGGAGAAGCTCAAGGGAGTGCAGGAGGATCTCAAGGTCGCGCAGGCTGAGGCGGTGAAGGTGAAGGCCGTTGGAAAGGACGCGTCGGAGTGCCAGAGCAAGCTCACCCGCTCCAACACCCTTCTCAAAGAGACCACGGTACGGTTCGGTTTGATTCAGTTCCACTGGTTTAGTTCGGTTTGGTGCGGTTCGGTTAAGTTTCGGCTAGGTGGGTTTTGAGGGGTTTTGCAGCAGTTATGCCCGGAGTCTTCCGCATCGTGGCTTTGTTTAGGAGCACATGGTAGAATTCGGTTCGGTCCGGTTTGGATCTACCTGTCTTGGTTTGAAGGGTTAGTGAATACCGCTTTTTGGGCACCGGGAGTGAAGGTAGGACAATTCTAGCCGAATAAAGGGGGGCGGCAGGTTATTTCGAGAGAAAAGAAGCCATTTTGGATTGTTGGCATGTAACATGCCATAGTCGAGTGAGGGGAGGAGAGGAAACGGCATATAATAAAAGAAAAAGGGGAAGGAATCATTTTCGTATTCCAGGTTCAGGTTTAGATGTTTTGGGTCGCTGTGAGATATGTCGGGATATTTCGGGTTTGCTGCTGCAAGGTGTTGATTTGGAGAGTCGAGTATGAAAAAGATATTTCAAAAAATGCGTCATGCAATCACAATTATCAAAACATGCGATAGCTACTTTTGCTGTTGCTCTACCTGTTGCCAGTTCTGACTCAGCAGCAGGCTCTAGCTTCCCTGGCAATGTGCGCTCGTATCCTATCCAGTATATTTGAATCTGTAGGCGTCTATTGAGTCACATCCCTTTCTAGTTTGCATTCCCCTTCTGCAATGCAATCTGCACACGCACACCTCCCACGCCCCCGTATCCCCCCCACCGCACCAACCCCGTACCCGTCACGCCCAAACTCAACCGTGTCCCCCCTGCGCGCATCTCTCTCCCTACCCCTGCACGCGCCCAGGACTCGTTGGCGCGGCTGGAGAGGGAGGTGGAGGCGAAGCACGAGCAGCTGCTGCAGGTGTCCAGCAAGTGGGAATAGGTTCAAGTCGACTCAATGCTCCCCTTCAACCTCATCCTTGTCCCCTGCGCGGATCTCCCTCCCCCCCCCCCTCTCCCCTTGCACGCACGCAGGACTCGTTGGCGCGGCTGGAGCGGGAGGTGGAGGCGAAGCACGAGCAGCTGCTGCAGGTGTCCAGCAAGTGGCTGCCGCCATGGCTCGAGGACCACCTGCTCTCCGCCAAGGTCAGCCCCACCACCCCCCCCTGGTACCGGCCCTCTGTACCTCTTTGCACCGTTGTAAAAGCTGCGGGTGTGCAATGAGTCCGCTGCAGGTGTCCAGCTAGTGGCTGCCGCCATGGCTCGAGGACCACCTGCTCTCCGCCAAGGTGAGATTTGAGTCAGGGTCGGCATGGCTGAGTTATGGAATGCAGCTTTCTGTTCTGCACAGCTGGCTTGACGGTCCGATACCAGCAGCCCTAACCATTAGGGCATGTCGTATTGTTTGTCCTTGTACCTTTTTCGTCATCTTGTTGCGCCCGGATTCTGTCCTTCTGATGCTACTCTCTCTCG